GTAACTTTTTATAAAAATAACTTTTTGTCATATTTGCTGAAACCTTCCCTATATCCTGGCAGTAGTACACGAGACAGATAATTTGTGAAAAAAATCAGGTTTCTCTGGTTCCTCCTAGTGCTCCTAATGGCATTTAGAAAAATCCACTGCATGTGAATGGAAACAACCAATCAGAGACGAGGAAGATGTTTTATTGTTGAGTCTCATTCCCAGGTCATTCAAAACTACTTTGGGACCCCGGGCGTAAGTTTCTTGGCTATGATGCCAGAGGAACATGATTTGACTTTTGACTTTGACTTTTACCTCCTGCACTTTAACTTGAACTTAAAATTTAATTGTTTTAGAAATGATGGACCAAGCTAGAATAATATCCAAGTTGTAATAAACCAAAATATATTTTTACTTATGCTAAAATACTAAAAACCCTGGGGTTTTTGTTGCAACAGAGAGAACCTAATTAAAAAAAACTCCCAATTCAGGAACTGGATCTTCTCAAGTCAGAAGCTTCTAGACCAAAGTGGCTAAACAAGTGGCTATAGCTTTGTCACAATATGACATATTCTGTTGTGTGTGTGTGTGCGCAGAACCCCCAGTATTCCAGCACCAGCACCTATGTGATCTACGCTCACCTGCTGAGGCAGATTGCAGCTCTGTCTGAGGCCGACCACCACTTCCTGGTTCACTGGCTCAAAAAGTAAGTCTAAACACATTTTTGTTACGTAGTGGGGACCTTTTACTGTATAAACACAGACCTTGCCAGGACCAGTATTCCTCATGGCGACCAAAGTCTTTTCCTGATGAGGCAAAATGTCATTTCTGAGGTCTTGGTTAAGGTTAGGGGTAAGGGTTTGGGTTAGACTATCCACAGTGAATGGAAGTCAGTGCATGCAATGTCTTAAGCATACCTTTGTAAACTTGTGTGTGTGTATGTGTGTGTCAGGGAATGTTAACTACTCTATGGCTTAACATAGTCGACTAAACTGTTGATGAAAGGGGTCTTAGTCTTTACTTGTTGTGTTTCCATTAACAGCTGATTTTACCTAATCCTTAAAAATGTCACAGAAATTAAAAAGGGAATCAGGTCATTGCATGTTTTCTTTATCTTTGTATTGTTGTTTTATTATCTTTCACTGTTCTTCCTTTTTAAAACTGAGTCTAAGGATAGAGGCAGTTGTATGTGGAACAGATTTTAAAGCCCGCTGAGGAAAATTTGGGATTTGGGGCTCTGTAAATAACTTTTGGATGTGTAGGCGGATTGGGTCTTGTCATCTCGTCTTTGCAGCAGGGTTAGCAAGTGATTGATTGTATGATGGGAACGTAAATTTAAAATGTTTCCATCTCTAACTCGAATTACTTTACTCTGGCTCACTTTCCTTATGCAAATATCACACACTGCTTCGAGCTTTGATGAATCTTTATTGTCATTTGGTACAAACCCCAAATTCTGACAAACTGCAGCAGTTGCATTCTTTTCAACAACCAACTTGTTTTTCATCATCTTTGTTTTTTCTCTCTAATCTGAGGAGCAGGGGTCAGTCGGCAGGAATGAAAATGACACTGACTAATAAACCTGGTCAGACAGTTGTTTGGCCTGTGTGTGGCATCGCTACCCAGACTGGAAGAAAAACTGTCAAAAGCTACGTTCACACTGCAGGCACATGTGGCCAAAATATGATTTTATTTTGCTAATATGTGACTCAGATCTGTTTTTTTCATGACAGTGTGAACAAAACAAATCATATGGAATCTGATCTTTTCAGTTAAGACTTTCATATGTGGTCCAAATCAGATACAGGTCTGATTATTTGCAATGCAACCTCAGTGTGAACAGTCATATCAGAATTTATGTGACTTTTACGACACTATAAATCAACATTTGTCATGATTCAGGAAATCAGTAGAGGGACACTGATTACGTTTACATCCACTCATATTCTGTTTGGATATTCCTAACTAGGCATTATTCTGAATGTAGCATTTTCTGATAAAGACATGTGGGAAATGCAGATATTATTTAGGTTTAAGCTGCATTCTTTGGATATGTATACAGCACAATCGGAATATGCGTCTCATTTGGGGTGTGACAGCAGTTTGACTGTTGACAGTGAGGTCTGCGTATTATAAAAAAATAATTTTCAGTTGCTATGTAAACAGCTTAGTAGCAATGTTTTCGGAACAAGGACAACATTCTGAATATTTTGTGCATATAAAAGTAGTCAGTGAGGTGTTATACCTCAAGTTTGTGGGTGTGTTTGCTCCGAGTCTGCGTCCACACACCGCCTCTGTACAGAAGTAGTAGCCATTGCTCCACAAAAAGTCATAATTAAAAGTGTGGCTCTCTTTTTCCTCATGCTTGGTATCATCTGCTCAGGAATGCGCTGGCTTCCACTGCAAATCAACTTATAAATGAAACTGCAGACATCTTCAGTGGCCTCCATGTTTACTTCCGCACAACAGTGTGCTGCATGTGACATAGTGTGACGTGTTATTGTTCTTTTTTGGGCATGCGGGTTAGTTTATAACCACGACTAAGCCACATTTAAAAAATAATGTGAAAGACTTGCAGTAGCCAAAGTCTTGAGCACGTCTTTGTACTGATACAGTCTATAGCCTATTCTACACACATGTCAAATAAAGCTGATGAGAATACATTTCTCCTAGTATTAGCTACTCAGTACATTTGAGAACCGACTGAAATCTATCTGTGGCATTGTATAAAAACCGGAAAATAAGGGTAGCCTTTAATTTTGTTTTCCTTGTTTCTGAAGTAGCCCAGAAGGGACAAACACTGGTACTGGATAGTGGTGTCATGTTTTTTACACCCTTCTCAGCCACCGTACTTTCTCCTTCGAGTTTGGATGGGGAGGGTGAAGCAACGGAGTTGTGATCTGCAACTACACCGCTAGTTGCCACTACACACTGGATCATTAAGCTGGCATCCAGTCAAACATTTTTCAGGCTGATATAACTGCATTATAAATCCACAGCTGTTCCTCTATGTAAATGTATCATGTTATTCTTAAACTATCCTATTTTCAAAAAAATGTAATCCATTTCCAGCCAGTTTGATCAAATCTTGCAGCTTTTAGAACTTGATGCACAGCCTACAATTACAAATGTAAGCCAGCTTCTGTACGTCTCTCTCAGCCTCAATAAGGAGCTCTGAAGAAGGCATCCTGTTTGTGGCGACGATTTACAAGCGAGCTGCTTCAAATTATAAGTTCTGTTTGGTTCTGCTCATATCCAAAAACCCAAATTCTCCATCCAACGCTGCTATTTTATGTGCTCTTGAAGTGTAAGCGTCTATTTTTGTGCGTATGTGTATTTCAGGATATGTGCAGTCTGTGCAGTTTGTGCAGTTTTGACTCTGCCAAGCTGCTGATGTTAACCAATATTAACTCTGTGTGTGTGTGTGTGTGTGTGTCAGGCTGTCGGCGAGGCGTTTCAGGCAGCTGGTAGAGCGCCTCCTGCAGTTCATCTCCACCCGTCTGTTTCCTGCAGAACCAGACGAACTTCCTCCTTTGGCTAAATGCTCCTGGTGGATTCCCTCCGCTACCAAAGTGCTCGGCCTGTTCAGTGAGTTTCACGCACGCACGCACGCACACACACACGCGCGTGTTCACATCATCTTTAACAATTTGCAGTATTTTTATTGCACAGATTATTTTGACACATTTGATACATTTGACTTTATTTCTTTGTTTTTCCTCAGATGCAGCCAACAGTGTCTCCTCTCCCCCCATCATGCCTTTCACCGACTTCTACAACATCACTCTGGAGCACATAGATTTCATGGAGGAGTACAGGACCTGGCAGAACTACGGCAACTCAAATAGGTCCGATATCTGTCACTCTTTTTCCAGTTTAATCATTGAACTCCCCTGCTTTTCTATCTGGCTGACTTATGGCGGATCATAAAGTTAACTGTTTACAAATTGCTTGATCCCGCTGTGTCCAGTGATGGCTGTAAATCAACTGGCCTCCACTGGTCCACCCTGCTCCTGTTCTGTCGTTTATTCCAGCCCCACTCCTTGGTAGTATTCGCTGCTGGGTTCCCCACTCCTACGCTAGTAGTGTTTAAACTCCCCCTGTCCTCTGAGCTCCCAGTCCCATGTACAGTCAGCAAATAGGACTGCCAACTATCTAGTACAGTCAGCATATGCAACAGTGCATGGGTAAGTGACTCCCTGTGTTACAAGAGAAAAGGTTGTTGTTGCAACAATCCCCGGATACTCTCGTCCCGGTGATGAGGTACACTGAACGGAGTTTGCTGCCGTTTTTGTTTTTCTGCAACTATATGACTAAAGATAAAAAGTGGGTCAACTAAGACTCTTCTTATTGACTAACAGTTAAGTCGCTAAGTGACTGACATCATTTCAGCAGTAGATAAGCACAAGAAGTTGGTTCCTACTCACTACACTCAGAAAATGGATAATAAACGATGGAGCTCCACTGCACCATCATATCATAGACAGTGAGTAGTGACTTTTCCCAGGGGAAGTTTCCTTGGTCTCGCCTGCTAATAAGGACCAGAAATGCTAACAGTTGTGACAACACATCAGCTTGACTAAGCACAAGCCGTGACCAAAAGTGATGTTAGCTCCTTCTGAAGATTTGTTGGTCTCCTCCTGAGCAGAGACAAAGTATAGTTCTCACAGCTGCAGTTTATCCAGGATCGTAGAAAAACGCTTTCAGAAGCCGTGAAGTCTGTTTCACGCTGCGTCATGGCTCGTTAATGTCCGATAAAGGAAACGGATCCAAAGTTTACAGTTCAAACGATCGGCTCTGAAAGTCCCTGGCTGGAGCGGTCTGGATTGGAGGGTGCAGATTTCAGAGCCTGGTCATTTGGATAAAGCCTATAATTTTAAAAACACTTGAGAGTTGAGGAATGAAGTGTTTTTGTTCTGTAGTCTATATATTTTGAGACTGATGGTAGCAAAACAGATTAGAAAATACCTTTCCGGGGTCATTAACTTTTCACATTTCTTCCTGTCCTACCTCAGGTTTTCCTTCTGTCAGTTTCCCTTCATCCTTTCGACTGTGGTGAAGAAAGCCATCATCCAGAAAGACTCTGAGCAACAGATGATTAGTCAGGCCAGGGTGAGACACACATACACACACTTTCACATACATATGCAAACATATTTGCACTGCTTTACTTGTGAGGAACATCATTTAAATAATGTGGGAGTCCCTCCCTACCCTAACGCTAATCTAAATCTAATTCCAGACTTTAACTCCTAAAATGCCTTTTGAAGCTTTTCAAATGTTACTTATTTACCAGGTCCATACAATGATAGAAGAGCTATGGTAACACATGCACATGTGTGTTTTATAGCAAAGCCTGGTCAGTAAGGTTTCTCGCAGGCAGAGAGTGGACATGAACCTTCTGTTTCTCAACATTAAAGTACGACGAGCACAACTTCTCAGCGACTCGCTGGATGAGGTTAGTACACACGCACACGCACACACACACACACACATACACACACATATACACATACATACACTTACTCTTGTCACATCTGTTTCAGATGTTTTTAAACAAGATTGCTCATAAAAGCAGGAATACATATTGAGGTCTCACTATAGGTGTCGGACCGGAGAAGCTATTTCATAGTTCTAAGAACAGTTGGAGGACACCCTCTCCTTCTGCACTGCAAGAACTGGGAGCGGTTGTAGGTCTTGGACACACTGTTTTGAGGAAGTTTTTTGGCTCCTACTTCAGAGCAGGTACTCTCCCAGCACAAGAGAGACCTTGAGTGATGTAAGTGTATGGTGATTGATCGAATGCATGAGCCAATGCACCACCTGGAACTGCCATTTTTAAAAACCTGTGTAAAACATTAGCTGTGTAAACAACAGCTCACAAAGGTAGCCTTCAAGAATGGAGCAAAACACGGGCAAATGGTCTGCTAGTGAAGTGCAGATTCTATTGAGTGTATATGTTGCACAGAAGTGACATTGCTGGCCGGCTTCCATCTCTTCAACATTCCTGTTCTTGGTGCAAATGCAATCAGAAAACAAGCCCTTGAAGGTATGTATTATCTGAACAGGGGCATACAACTGAGGTTTAACTGTCTCAGGAACTTGTTCATGAGTGATGGTAAAATGGATTGTAATATTGATAGGTTGATTGAAGTAGCATCAGCGTCACTAATGCGGGTGCTCTACTGAACCGTTGTGGTGAAGAGGGAGATGAGCCAGAAGGCAAAGCTTTCGATTTACCAGTCAATCAATGGTCATGGGATTTCGGTAGTGACCGAAAGAACTGCGGATACAAGCTGCTGAAATGAGTCTGTAGGGTGGCTGGGCATCTGGAGGGAGCTCAGAGTAGGGCTGCTGCTCATTCGGTTTTCCAGGCACATCCAACTGGGAGGAGAACCTGGGGTTGACATGGAACTCGCTGGAGGGATTATATATCTCATTTGGCCTGAGAACATCTTGGGATTCCCCAGGAGGAGGTGGAAGGCGTTGCTGGATACCCTGCTTGACCTGCTGCTACCGTGACCTGAATAAGCGGGCGGATGGATGGATGGATGGATG